TATATATATATATATATATATATATATATATTATATATATATTACAATATACTACATTATACATGTATTCTTTCGAATCCCCCACGACCGATACTCCAGAGAGATGATGGTCCTATTCTCTCGAATGCACTTCACTCTTTCGTGTCGAGACTGACGTTTCTTAAAAAATGCCCTTATTTAAACAATTTATATCAATAGTCGATAACACCGACATTCTTCAATTATCTTCGAAATTAGACCTCAAAATCAGAATCGCAAGATATGACTACTACTGTGAACACAAATCTGTTTAATTTCAAGTACAGAAAGTACGATATATATTCAATTTGATGTAGATTAAATCTCTAAGATATAATCTCGATTTAATTAATCTTTCATCTTTCTTTAATATTAAAAATTAGAAAATATAAGTGAAATTTAAGCAGAAGTTAAAATTAAGAAACACTAATGAAAATGAACAATAACGTGGCAATTAAAAATAAAATATTTTATTTGTGCTCCTTCTAATATCATCTGTAACTTGTTTTGTTTTTCTTGTTTCTTATTTCGACAACAGAGAGCGTTATTGCACGGTGAAATTTTCTTTCCTTTTGTGTCTGTGACCCATTCCAAGTTTGACGAAATCAAAACACTCCTCACGTGTAATCTCGGCGTTCGAGACTTAAGTAACTTCTCGAATATCTCGAATATCGAAAGGGAAACAATTAAATTTATAATGGTAAGTAAAAATACCTTTTTATAACTGAAAGTATAGTATTGTGACATAATTATGATTATGTAGATATTTTGTAAACATGCGACTTCGCTGTACTATTAAAATTTCTATACATTTTCAGAATAAAACTGAGAATTTCTACAAAAAATGGACAGAGATTGCACGAAAATAAAGAGTGCCCTTGAACTGCATTAAGAGATTACAGACTTCTTAATAATTTTTATATAATTTAATCGATTATAATGGAAACATACAGAATAAACGAGCAAAGTGAATTACATGATCGTTACATGCAATTTTCAATAACAGAAATCAAATTTTTACCAAATGTATTTAATAAATGTAAGGACGAACTATATCAAGAGATAATGTCTTTTAAAAAGCAGATGACTAAGGTGAGATTAGATATAGATAAACTCAAGCAATATAAGATGTCGCTATGCTACGAATATCAAATCACATATAGCCAAAACAAAAAACCAATCGAGTTGAACAAAATAGGCAATTATTCCACCATCAAGGACACCTTCCCTAGCATGAGGAAGATTTTCCCGCCAAATTATTTTCGAACTACGTCGCAAATTCTATTGCAGTGTGACATAATCATTCTTCAAATGATACTCTACTTTGATATCAACTTCAGTGTGGAATACACGCAAAATTTTCTTTGCTTATATAACGATTACCTTGCAAACTACAATTCAAGAATTATGTATATGATGATAGTAGAATATCTTTTAGAATTCTTTCGCTTGCGACCTGTTGATCCAGATATGTATAATCCTAGTGGTACATATATAGAGATTTTGAAGTCGTGGATAGAGAAATACAAGAATCCTGAGTGGAAAACATTGGCTTCAATATCTTCCAAGTTAATAGATATTTTTCCATGGAACGATATTGTGCGTCCACTGTGGAAGTATGTTATGCACCTGAATTCTCAACTTGATATACCGTATTATCGTATTGTCACTATTTTGAGTTCCATGGCAGACATATGTTTTTTATCATTCGATTCCGTAAGTTATGTTCAACGTGACATTTATCGTAAGAATACATTCTGGACTTTAATACTTGAGGGATTAGCATCGTCCATGCCACAATGCCGCAAGCAAGCTCTGTACATAATGAAAACAGCGGTCAATTCTTTGAATAAAAATTTAGATCAAATTAATAACATCGGAATACACGAAGGCAGAAATTACACCTTTCATTTGTAACCAAATCATTATATCGCCGTCGGCGGATTGCGTTAAGGAAAAATTCTTCCTGGTATATGAAGCATTAGAACAAGAACAGGATGACTTGGTAATGCCAGCCTTAACTCACGTGACATCTAATAGATCTAATAGAAGCGAACAAGAAACACAATATCTGCAAATGTTTCGACATTACGTGGTTGCGGTGCATTTTTGAGAAGGCTCTGAAGCACAAAAACACTCAAGTTACAAAGTGGGGTGTATCATACGTTCTTAAATTAGATGAAGCCATTTTCGATGTTCACTTCTTCGAAATCTTTACAAATACTTTAAACAACACATTTCTCTATGAGTGTCAATCCGTCGAGGATTGTTCTGGAATTGTGGGGGAACTCGCGGAATTTTTCAAACGAGGGCAGAAAAGTAATTTATTTCAGGAATTTATTACGAACATTAACGACTACGTGTCTGAGCCCATAGCAGTATTTTATATAATGCATGCGTTACAAATACTTTCACCAGAGGAGATACAATATTGCGCTTGGCAAATTGATGAATTGGAAAGCATTAAATTATTAGTCGAAGAAAATCTAAGCGAGTCCTCTTCCATATCACATATCGCAGCTCAACACGAACTCTTGCAAGCAATCCCTAATTACGTACACCAAATAGACGATCTATCATTACTTGCTGATATTCTAGCTACCTTTTCCTGTCTCGCGAGAGAAACTGATTCTTGGAACGTTATAACGACATGGTTGTCATGTATTTTGTCGGACGAAACAGCAGTAGAGTTTATAAATGACACTTGTACGGAATATTTAACACCACAAACTCCACAACTAAATCTTAAAACATTTGCGATGATGATATGTTTATTACATGATGCTAATCTTATATTCCAGCAGCAAAACAGTGAATGTCCCGCTATAATGTCATTGAATCATTTATTGGATATTTGGAACACGAGTGATGATATCCTCGAAAGAATTAACGCAACAAAATTCATATCATATTTAATAGACATTAGCATGAGAGGATTTCAAAACGAAGACATGTTAAAATTCATAATATCGTTACATGTAAAAACCACGTTTAATTTTTTAATTGAAAATATGAGAATAATGTCTATGGAACTGTCATGTAAACAATATAGGAAATATACAAATATTGTAGCCTCGCATCTTAATTCGCTTAGTTTTATATCAGTGGAAGTTACGCGGAACACACAGAGTTACGCAGAAAGATTGCAAAGGGAAAGTAGAAATTTAGTAAACGACTTACAATCGAATTTAAATCTAGTCGAATTTATGCAATATCTATATGGACTGCACATCTTGTACCTCTCCCAGGAAGTAAACGCAAACTGTTTAAATAATTGCAAAAATTATATTTTATATATATTGACGATGTCGATGAATATTTGTCAAAGTCGCAACGTGAAAAATTTAAGAAGAGAAATTGTAGCAGAATATCTCTTGCTCCTTTCGAAACTCATATATCAATATCTCGTAAATAATTCTCTAAGGACTCTGACGATTCCGATTCATATGTTGCTGTTTTATCTGCTACAATTCTCTGAGTTTATACAACTAAAAAACATCCCTGATATTGCAAATATATTAAGAAGAATAATTGATAATTTTTTGTGCGAACAGAATGATGAATATATGGACAATGTAAAAATTGTTATGGGTATTTTTGATGTGAGCTTGAGTCGTATTGTGGAGAATAGAGAAGATAATATCTTGTGGGCAGCGATACAAAGCCTTATGCAAGTTATCATTAACAATAATTTTTTGCGCTTACCTGATGCGACAAATTTCATAAAAAATGTAAGCCAAAAATTTACTCGAAAAAAAAAAATATATATATATATACACGTATCGTTATTTTTAAAATATTAATCTATGAATCAACTTTGTTTTACAGCATATCCATTGTTTACTGACGAGAAAAATCCCAAAATTAAATATGATAATACTTTCTACACTGGCACACTTGGAAGTAGGTAATATATTACAATTAGAAGAATTATTAACAACTTGTCTCTTTTATGGCATTATGTATCATAGTGACGATAGTGTTGAATATCATCATAATTTGTTTATCGCCAAGCATTCAAAACTGGATTATTCTGAATATATCTTCAAGTTGTAAGTATTTGTTTATTGCTGGATGCATTGTACTTAACGCTCGCAACGCCCGCGATTGTTTTTTTTTTTTTTTTTCTTAATACTTGATGAATAACATAAAGTGATTCTGAGAACGTTAAATATGATGTAGCCGGATATTTATATTCGAATGGTTTAATATATTGCTTTCAATTAAAATAAATTCTAAATAATGCATTGATGTTTTGTTAATAGAGATTATAATAATTGTGTCGCAATTAGAGCAGAGACGATTCTACTGTTACATAAAGTACTTAGCCATTCAATAGGGTACGCGGAAACATTCGCGCGGTTTGTAATCAAAGCAATGGTACGTGAAATCAACTGGCAGTTGTACAAACACTTGCCTTTATATAAAATGCAATACAGACAAATGCAAATATTATTAATATTGGAACCAGTTCTGAATAAAGTAAGCTAAACTTATGATTAGTTAAATTGTTTTTTACGCGATTACAATATTAATAACCGATAACTGATTATAGGAATTGATTATGCTGGTATACAAACACCTGTGTCATTTCATTTACACGGAAAGTAATCCCCACTCCAGCGTGAGATTGATGCAGGAATGGTTGATGATACGAATCTTGGTAAAGAATAGCGATCTGCATGAGGAATTATGGTCACTTTTTGAGAAAGTAATAGAAATGAATTTTATAATAATATAATAACAAAAGCTTTTCAAATCTTCCTGTTTTCACGGCATTTAATAAATCAGTATATATTCAGTATATTCTCATATATTTTCAGAGTATAAAAAATCGACCGAGCTGTATGATTTCTTTAGCAAGCATCGCCTACCACGTTGCAAAACTCTTGTCAGACGATAATCAGAAAATTTTTATTGAAACAGCACTGCCGTACGTAGAACGGTGTTGCTTAGAGCAACAATTTAACGCGCGCATTCATAATCAGGCAAGTAAAGTTTCAATCAAGTATTAAGACAAATGTATCTGTACTATACTATTTTCATCATGATTTCTTTTCTATATATAGTTTATTTTGAAACATTTATATGAATTAATGAAGTCAATATACGGCGATAAAAGCGTGTCGAAATATAAATATATATATCAAATCGCTGTTACTAGTTTGCATAGAAATTCGATAGAAAGTTCAATCAGAATACAGGATGATTTTTACCTTTCCCATTTTCATCCGATCAACTATTATAGCTTGCAGGTATACGCTGATTTGTTTTCAAGAAAATGGAATTAATAAAATGGAATTAATTTCGATATTATGGTATATACTATTTAACATTTTTTAGACTATTTTCTATGAATTCCCACGTTTGACTAATATGAATTTCGATGAATGGATTAGTCCGGATGTGTTCAAAATGTTGATGTTCAATCGGAGTGATAAACATCCTCTGCGGCTGTATAACAAAAATTCATTGCTGTCTGATACTAAATCTTCCGTTGATCTGACAAAATCATTTGCAGGTAAATTAAAAAGCAATAAATGTATTGCGGTACAAAATAATTATGTTTTCGAGTAGTACACGAGAATTGTTTGAAAGTAAAATTCCGTATCTATCTGATGGATTATTGTGATATTCAGCAAAAGATTGATCTCTCAAAATCTCCAGATTTAGACGATGTTTCCGGAATGATTAAGGAGCTCATATATACGCTGGATATAGAATTACAGAAAGGTCTAATAATTATAGCATCCTTCGCCGATCAACCATCAAATTTAGACGATATTGCTAAAATGTGTAGGACATATAAAATTAAGACGCTAATCGTTATGAATACAGATTGCGTGAAAAATGAAGAACTTGAATACCTTAGTGTATCTGCTGATAAATGGTTAAATATAATACAGGTATTTCAACAACTTCTTTATGAGGTTTATAGTTTTAATTGTTAACGTCATGACTTTCAATAGCATGATGTAAAAGAATCTTATTTTTTGAATCGTTGCATAATTTTTATCTTTTAAAACCATTAAAAATAATTCAGAAATATCTTTTGTTAGAATATTTTAAATATTTCTTTGTTTGCAAGTTTATCAATTGTAATAAAAAGAATATATACGGTTGCGTTCAAAAGAATATATGTATATTAAATTCTCTAAAGGTGGAGCCACGTGAATTACAAAAATTCTTGTTGGACAGAAAAAACGCAGGATGGTCCTTGATTGGTATTGAAAGAACAATCCATAGTGTAGATATCAAGACGACTCCGTTGGAGAAAAAGACAATTTTCATTTTAGGGTAATTAAATCTTGACTTATATATAACATGTTTCATCGCGGCGAATGTATATACAAATTTGTTTGCAGAAACGAGAAGAATGGTATACCAGTAAACTTTATACCTCTCTTCGACAAATGTGTAGAAATTCTACAAGTAAATACAAAATGCCCATTGAGTGTTCACTTTACCACTGCGATATGCATATATCAATATATAAAGCAGACGTCATAATAATTTTGCGAGTTAACAAGATATATGTATTTTTACTGAAATAAAAAGTTTATTATTGCAATCACAAATGCCATCTTTCTTATTTTAAAGGAGTTCTGAATTGATGAGTTTAAATGATTTAAATGATTTTTTTAGAATGAAATTTTAAATTAGCCAAGATATATATACATATTATTTGGTTTTTTTATAGTGGCAATAATTATTAAAAGTGAAATATTAGACCTTTACTTTTACGAGCGGATCTATAATTTAGAGGATTGTATATGTGTGAGATTGGATACACAATATATCATATTCAGCCATGTGCTTTCAAATATTCCGTTTCCGACATAGAAGCAAAAATATGTTCTCATCTACTAAAATAATGGCAAATAGTCTCATATTGTGACATTAGGATAACGATTGGTCTGCCAACCCATAGGAACAATCTTGAGAATTCTGGATATGTACTGGGAATTGCGGATATGTTGTTTAGTGTCTATGGCGTCAGTTCTTCAAAACTTTCGGTTAAATTTTCTTGCTACCAACTCTAATCGATTCTGTGCCTTGCGCTGTGATCACCATTAGCTGATAACATCTAATGCATGTACAATCGCGATGATGTTATCAGTCCTTCCTATGCAGTAAGGAGCATACATGCACCAACAAGTGAGCGATCGGATCGTGAAATAAACGAGGAAGAACGAGAGGAATAACGGGAAAATGATTCGAATGATTGGTAGTTCTCGTGCGATAATTTAATAAACTCGGTTTACTTTCTTAAGACTGAAATAACCGAAATTGTCTGTATTCTATTCAATCCATTCGATTCACGTAACGTGATGAGAATTCGGTTGTTTTTAGCATTGAAGGCATTTCGATTACGTTCAGATTCAAGGAATAAAAAAGGAAATAATAGGAATATAAAATTTAATACAGAGAATTAGGAGTGGGAATTTACCTTCAATACTTTCAATTTAGTAAAAGAACATTGATATTTCTTGATATTTCTTAATTGAGTATTAAACAAGGATTCTTAGAATAAACATGTGTGAATAGAAATCGTATCAATCAGATAAAAATCTCACGTGATTCAGACTAAAAGGTTCATAATTCTAAATCTGATTTCTTCAAAAATTTTTAATTTAGGAGATGAAAATACGAATTATATACCTCAATCTTACAAGTCATGTTTTCTATTATATATCTTTTATATCGTGATCTCTTTTGCAAGACAAATTCACGAAGAGAACTCGTGGAACGAGAAATTTCCTTAAAACGTTCTTTCGCATGTACTCGTTCTGCTATTATTAATTGGAATGCTGTTTCAAGTTTCGATATGTAAAGACATCACAGCAAATATAACGCAATGTTAAATCGAATTATATCTTCTGAACGCATTTAATATGGAAAATCAGGACTTCACATTGAAACGATTACCATTGAAATATTTGCCTAGGCAAAATTGACATAAATTTTATGTAAAAAATTTAGTTCTTGACTACGACCAAAAATCAGAGTTATCTTAATATATATTTCTATTTATACTGTAAATCATTTATAATGTAAATCATCTTTAATTGCGGATTAATTCTTGTTGGTGCATGTATGCTCACTTTTCATCTTTTTTATTTTAAAATTAAAATGAAATAAAAGATAATTAGAAGTTATAATTAATTTATATTAATAAAAGAAATAGATATAGTATATGTATATACATACATATATACACACATATATATATATATATATATATATATATATATGAGTTTGTAACATTTAATTTTATGTGATATATATACATACACATGAATATAACTTATGGTATTGTAAGAATTAGACGACCTTGCACATTTTGTATCTCTCCCAGGAAATATACCCAGATTGTTTGAATAATTACAAGAAAGATATTTTATATATATTGTCGATGTCAAAGAATATTTGTCGAGATATCAAAGTGGAGAATTTAAGGGAAAAGAAAATTATATCAGAATATTTCTTATTTCTTTCGAGACTTGTGTATCAATATCTCATAAATAATTCTCTAAAGACACTTGGGACTTCCATTGATACATTGCTGTCTTATCTGCAACAGTTTTTCGAGTTTTTACTACCAGAAAATGTACCTGAAATTGCAAAAATATTAAGAATAGTAATTGATAAGTTCATGTGCGAAGAAAATAATGAATATATGAAGAATAAAGAAACTTGCATGTTTATCTTCAAAAAATATTTTACGTGTATTATGAATAATGAAAAGGACAATATTTTCTGGACAGCGATACAAAGTCTTATGGAAGTTATCATTAACAATAATTTTTTGCGCTCACCTAACGCGGCGAAATTCACAAAAACGGTAAAAAACGGAAATTTATTCGAAAAAAAAGATGTATATATATACACACATATCGTTATTCTTAAAATATTAATCTATAATAATATTAATAATATTAATATATAAATCAACCTTGCTTTACAGCATATCTCTTATTTATCGAAGGGAAGAATCCCTATGTCAAAACTAAATACGATAATAGTTTCTAAACTGGGACACTTGAAAGTAGGTAATATGTTAGTATCAGAAGAACTACTAGCAACTTGTCTCTTTCATGGTATTATGCATTATTCTGCCCACGAAGTTTACGATCAGGAAGATTTGTTTATTATCAAGCATTTGAAACAGAATTATTCCGAGAATACTTTCACGTTGTAAGTATTTGTTTATTGATCGATGCGTTCCACTTAACGCTCGCAACGCCCGCGATTATTGTTTGTTCTTCATTAATACTTGATGAATAAGACATGAAATGATTCTGATATGAACATTAAGTGAGATGCAGCCGGACATTCATATGCCGGATATTCATATAAAAGATTTAATATATTGCCTTTAAGATGTTGCCTTTAATATATTGCCTTCAATTAAAATAAATTCTAAATAATGCATTGATGTTTCGTTAATAGAGATTATAATAATTGTGTCGCAATTAGAGCAGAAACGATTATAATGTTACATAAAGTACTTAGTCATCCAATAGTAAAGGACGCAGAAACATTCGCGCAGCATGTAATCCATGAATTGATACAAAACAAAAACTTGCAATTGTACGAACGTTTGCCCTTATACAAAGTGCAACACAGACAAATGCAAACTTTATTAATATTCGAACCAGTCCTGAATAAAGTAAGCTAAACTGATGGTTAATTAAATTGTCTTCTATCCGATTACAATATTAATATACGATAATTGATTATAGGAATTGATTCTTCTGGTATACAAACACCTGTGTCATTTCATTTACACGGAAAGTAATCCCCACTCCAGCGTGAGATTGATGCAGGAATGGTTGATGATACGAATCTTGGTAAAGAATAGCGATCTGCACGAGGAACTATGATCACTTTTTGAGAAAGTAATAGAAATGAATTTTATAATAATATAATAACAAAAGCTTTTCAAATCTTCCTGTTTTCACGGCATTCAATAAATCAGTATATACTCAATATATTCTCATATATTTTCAGAGTATAAAAAATCGACCGAGCTGTATGATTTCTTTAGCAAGCATCGCCTACCACGTTGCAAAACTCTTGTCAGACGATAATCAGAAAATTTTTATTGAAACAGCACTGCCGTACATAGAACGGTGTTGCTTAGAGCAACAATTTAACGCGCGCATTCATAATCAGGCAAGTAAAATTTCAAACAAGTATTAAAACATATGTATCTACATATGATACACTATACTATTTTCATCATGATTTCCTTCTCATATTTAGATTATTTTGAAACGTTTATATGAATTAATGAAATCAACATACAGCGATAAAAGCGTGTCGAAATATAAATATATATATCAAATCGCTGTTACTAGTTTGCATAGAAATTCGATAGAAAGTTCAATCAGAATACAGGATGATTTTTACCTTTCCCATTTTCATCCGATCAACCATTATAGCTTGCAGGTATACGCTGATTTGTTTTCTAGATAAAATGGAATTAATTTCGATATTATGGTATACAATATTTAACATTTTTAGACTATTTTCTATGAATTCCCGCGTTTGACTAATATGAATTTCGATGAGTGGATTAGTCCGGATGTGTTCAAAATGTTGACGTTCAATCGGAGTGATAAACATCCTCTGCGGCTGTATATAACAAAAATTCATTGCTGTCTGATACTAAATCTTCCGTTTATCTGACAAAGTCATTTGCAGGTAAATTAAAAAGCAATAAATGTATTGCGATACAAAATAATTATGTTTTCGAGTAGTACACGAGAATTGTTTGAAAGTAAAATTCCGTATCTATCTGATGGATTATTATGATATTCAGTAAAAGATTGATCTCTCAAAACCTCCAGATTTAGACGATGTTTCCGGAATGATTAAGGAGCTCATATATACGCTGGATATAGAATTACAGAAAGGCCTAATAATTATAGCATCCTTCGCCGATCAACCATCAAATTTAGACGATATTGCTAAAATGTGTAGGACATATAAAATTAAGACGCTAATCGTTATGAATACAGATTGCGTGAAAAATGAAGAACTTGAATATCTTAGTGTATCTGCTGATAAATGGTTAAATATAATACAGGTATTTCAACAACTTCTTTATGGGATCCATAGTTTTAATCGTGACTTTCAATGACAAAAGCAGTTCTTACTTTTTTGAATCATTGCATAATTTTTATCTTTTAAAATCATTAAAAATAATTCAGAAACATTTTTTGTAACAAGATTTTAAATATTTTTTTTTTGCTTGTCAAATTTATTCGTGATAATTAAATGTTCAAAAGAATATATATTATTTTAAATGCTGTAGGTAAAACGGCATGAGTTACGAAATCTTTTGTTGGGCAGGAAGAAGGCAAAGTCTTTAATTGATGCTGAACAGAGGATAGTGTAAATCTGATTACGATCAACTTATTTGAAAGGAAGACAATTTTCGTTTTAGGGTAATTCAATCTTGACTTATATAAAATGTTTCTTCGGCTGGTATATATAAATCTGTTTGTAGATATGAGAAGAATGATATACCACCAAATTTCATACCTCTCTTCGACAAATGTGTAGAAATTCTACAAGTAAGTAAGAAATCTCCACGTCCATTGAATGTCCATTTTACCACTGCGATATGCATATGGCAATATATAAAAAAATCTGCGTGAATATTAAATTTATTTATAAGAGAAGTGTGTTTTTAATGAAATAAAAAGTTTATCATTGCTATTACAAATACCATCTCCTTAGTATTTTATAAGAGTTTTGAACAGATCACGCTAAATTTTTATGATTTTTTTTACAAGTCGACAGTATTTAATTTTATGTAAAATTCTGTAGCTATATAATTACTGTATAATTACTGTTCGTGTCCGATTATACAAATGATAATTATAAAAAAAGATATATAATTGTGCGCCAATATACATATGCATCATAAATAATTATTTTTGTTTACTAAGCCTGTACAATAAAAAAAGCATTTAAACAATATTTAAACGATCATAAATTTCTATCAATAGTCGATAACATAGACATTCTTCAATTACCTCCGAAATTATCAAAGTCAGATTCGAATCGAAAGATGTGGCTTCGGAGCACTTGAATATTTGTATATTTGTCTATTTCTATAGAACCATGATTATAAATTTGTTTCATTCCGAGAGTGTAGGAAATAGGATATATATATTCAGTTTGACGTAGATTAACTTTAATCTAGATTTAATTATATTTTTTTTAGTATTAAAAATTAGAAAATATAAAGAATAAATTAAACAGAATTAAACTTGATGAACATTAAAAGTGAACAATAATGTGGTGTACTACGCATGACACTTTTGTGCTCCTTCTGTTATCCATAATTTGTTTTGCTTTCCTGTTTTTCACTTCGACCTGAGAGAGCATTTTACCGCACGGTAAAATTTTCTTTCCTTTATTCCCGTGGTCTATCACAAGTTCGACGAAATCAAAACATTCATCACACGTAATCTTGTCGTTTAAAAATTAAGTAACGAATTTCATAAATACGAATCGAAAAGAAGCAATTAAGTTTATAACAGTAAGTAAAAATTTGCTTTTTACAATTGAAAATGTTCTTATAACTGTGATAATGTAGATATTTTGTAATTGAAAATATGAGACTTCCTTATACTTTACAAATTTCCACATACTTTCAGAATAAGACTGAGAATACTTGCGAACAAAGACAGCGCGGAAAATTACCGCATACTGCGTTAAGATATATCGTAGATTTGTTAATAATTTTAATTGATTACGATGGAAACAAACAAGATAAACGAGAAGAGTGAACTACATGAACGTTATGTGAAATTTCCAATAACGAATATTACACTTTTATTAAGTACAGTTAATAGAAGCAATGATCAGCTGCGTCAAGAGATAATTGATTTCAATGACGAGATAACAAAGGAAGAGTTAAATATAAATAATCTCGAGGAGCGCAAGATGTTTTTATGTTACAGATACCAAACCATATATCACAGCCAAAACAAAGAACAGAGCGAAATAAGCGAAACGGATAATAATCTTACTGTAAGTGACATCTTTCCTAGTATGAAGGCGATCTTTCCGCCACATCGTTTTCGAAGCTCGTCACAAATTTCGCTGGTGTGTGACATAGTCATTTTGCAAATAGTACTCTACTTTGATATCAGCTCCAGCGTGGGATTTATGCAAAACTTCCTTTCCTCGCATCAGGATTATCTGATGAACGACACTTCTAGAATTATGTATATGCAGATAATGGAACGTCTTTTAGAATTTTTGCGCTTGCGACCTGTTGATCCAGATGTGTATAATCCTAGTGGTACATATATAGAGATTTTGAAGTCGTGGATAGAGACATACAAGAATTCTGAATGGAAAACATTGGCATCGATATTTCCAAAATTAATAGACATTTTTTCATGGGATGATATCATGCGTCCACTGTGGTATTATATCCTGCACGACGTATATCCCCAACCTAATGTATCGTATTGCCGTATTCTCCCTATTCTAAGTGCTATAACAGACACATGTTTTATACCATTCGATTCCACAAATTATGTTCTACATGATATTTATTATAACCGTGCATTCTGGTCCTTAATATTAAAGGGATTAGGAGCGTCCTCGTCACAATACCGCAAGCAAGCTCTGTACATAATGAAAACAGCGGTCAATTCTTTGAACGAAAGTATCAGATCAAATTTAATAACATCGAAAGGCATGAAGGAAGAAATTACACCTTTCGTTTGTGACCAAATCGATATATCCCCGCCGATGGACTGCGTTAAGGAAAAATTCTTCCTGGTATATGAAGCGTTAGAACAAGAACAGGATGACTTGGTAATGCCAGCTTTAATTCACGTGACAGATCTAATAGAAGCGAACAAGAAACACGATATCTGCAGTTGCTTCGACATTGTGTGGTTGCGGTGCATTTTTGAGAAGATTCTGACGCACGAGAGCACTCAAGTTACAAAGTGGGGTGTATCACACGTTCTGAAATTAGACGAAGCCATTTTCGATGTTCACTTCCTCGAAATCTTTATAAATACTCTAAACAACCCACACCTCTATGAGTGTCAGTCCGTCGAGGATCGCCCTGAAATTGTGGGGGAACTCACGGAATTTTTCAAACGGGCGCAGAAAAGTTATCTATTTAAGAGATTTGTTAGACACATTAACAAAAACATTATCTGGGAGCCCTTAACAATATTTTACGTAATCTATGCGTTACGAATAATTTCACCAAAGGAGGCACACTATTGCGCTTGGGAAACCGATGAATTGAAAGCCATTAAATTATTAGTCGAAAAAAGTCTAAGCTCGTCTTCCTCGATTCCAAGTACCGCGTGTCAAATCGAACTCTTGCGAGCGATCTGCAATTACGTACGCCAAATAGACGATTTGCCATTATTTGCTGATGTTCTAGCTACATTTTCCTGTCTCGCGAAAGAAACCGATTCTTGGAACATTATAACAATATGGCTGTCAGGTGTTTTGTCGGACACAGCGGCGAAAAAGTTTATAGATACTTGTGCAGGATATTTGAGACTAGAAATGCCAAGACTAAATCTTAAGACATTTGCGATGATGATATGTTTATTATACGATGCTAATTTAATATTCCAGCAGCAAAAGGGTGATTGCTCCGTTATGGAATCACAGTTAAACATTTACTGCATACTTGGAACATGAGTTTTTGTATTCGCAAAAAAATCAACGCGGCAGAATTCATATCCCATTTAATAGATATTGGCACGAAAGGAGGCCATTGTGAGGGCACGTTGAAATTCATATCGTTACATATAGAAACCACGTTTAGCTTTTTAATTAACAAAATGAGAGTAATCTCTACGAAACTGATGTTTCAAGATTATACGAAATATATAAATATCGTATCCTCGCATCTTAATTCACTTAGTCTTATATCAGCGGAAGTTACGCGGAACACACACCAGAGTTACATAGAAAGATTGCAAAGGGAAAGTATAAATTTAGTAAAAGACTTACAATCGAATGTAAATATGCAATATCTATATGGACTGCACATCTTGTACCTCTCTCAGGAAGTACGTGTAGACCGTTTAAATGATTACACGGAAGATATTTTATATATATTGTCGATGTCGATGAATATTTGTCAAAATATCACAACGAAGAGGAATTTAAGAGAAAGAATTGTATCGGAATATCTCTTGCTCCTTTCGAAACTTATATACCAATATCTCGTAAATAATTTAGAGACATTGAAGACTACCGTTGGTACGTTGCTGTCTTATCTGCAACAGTTTCTCGAGTTTGGGCTGCTAAAAATCATACCTGAAGTTGCAAAAATACTAGGAATAGTAATTGATCATTTTATGTGCAAGGATAATAATGAATATAGAAGCAATAAAATTTTAATATTTATTTTCGAAAAGTGTTTTACGTGTATCACGGAAAATAATAAGGATAATATGTTTTGGACAGCGATGCAAAGTATTATGGGAGTTATTATTAGTAATAATTTTTTGCGTTTACCAGATGCTGCAGAATTCACAAAAACGGTAAGGCAGAAATTTATACGAAAACACTTAGTACACACGCCACGCGCCATATCCATACGTGTGTGATGCGTGTGTTGTTGCATATATACTATTTTTTTTTTTTAATATTAAACGCTTATGAATCAATTTTGTTTTACAGCATATTTTCACCTTATTGAACAACAAAGTCATTTCTTTATCGAAATTAAAATCGATAATATTTTCAAGGCTGGTAAACTTGGAGGTGGACAATACGCTGAAGTTAGAAGCGCTATTAACAGACTGTCTCTTTCATTTTGCTATGTATCAGTGTAATGCCAAAATTGATTATGCTCATTTGTTTATTGCCAAACACTTGAACAAGTATTATTCCCAAAATATCTTTACGTAAGTATTTATCGATATGTAGCATAATATTCATATTGGAAAGTTTTAATATATTGTCGTTATTTAAAGAAATTCTAAATAATTGATATATGTAAATCTAAATAATTGATATATGCATTGATGTTCTGTTAATAGAGATCATAATAACTTTGTCACAACTAGAGCAGAGGCGATTATACTATTGCATAAAGTAATTAGCTATCCAGTAGCGAAGTACGGAGAAACATTCACGTTGCAGGTCATATATTCATTGGTACAAAGTAAAAACTTGCAACACAGACAAATGCAAATTTTGTTAATACTGGAACCAATCCTGAGTAAAGTAAGCTAAACTTATGATTAGTTAAATTGTCTTTTACTCGATTATAATATTAATAACTGATTATAGGAATTGATTCTTCTGGTATACAAAGACTTGTGTAACTTTATTTATACGGAAAGTAATCACTCTAGCGTGAGACTGATGCAGGAATGGTTGATGATACGAATCTTGATAAAGAATAGCGATCTCCACGAGGAACTATGGTCACTTTACGAAAAAGTAATAGAAATGAATTTTATAATAATATAATAACAAAAGTTTTTCAAATCTCCTTGTTTGCTTCACGGCATTCTATAAACCAGTATATATATCTTCAGTACACTCTCATATATTTTCAGAATATAAAAAACCGACCTAGCTGTACGATTTCTTTGGCAAGCATCGTCTACCATGTTGCAAAACTCTTGTCAGGCGATAATCAGAAAACTTTTATTGAAACAGCACTGCCGTACATAGTGCGATGTTGCTTAGCGCAGCAATGTAATGCACGCATTTATAATCAGGCAAGTAAAGTTTCAAACAAATATTAAAACAAACGTATCTGCATATGCTATATTATTTTCATCATGATTTCTTTTCCATATATAGTTCATTTTAAAACGTTTATATGAATTAATGAAGTCAACATACGACGACAAAATCGTGTCAGAATACAAATGTATATACCAAGCAATTGTAATTGATTTGCAACAAGAAAATTCGACAAAAAGTTCAGCCAGGATACAGAATGATATTTACTTTTCCCATTTTCATCCGATCGAACATTACAGCTTGCAGGTACACGCTGCTTTATTTTCGAAGATAGAATGAAATTAATTTCGATAATATGGTACACTATTTAACATATATACTCAGAATACATATATACTCTTTAACATTTTTAGACTATTTTCTATGAATTCCCGCGTTTGACTAATATGAGTTTCGATGAGTGGATTAGTCCGGATGTATTCAAGAAGTTGAAATTTAATCAGAGAGATGGACATCCTCTGCAGCTATATAACACAAATTCATTGCTGTCTAACACTGAATCTTTCGCTCATCAGACAGAGTCATTTGCAGGTAAATTAAAAAAGCAATAAATGTATTGCAAGATACAAAATAATTATGTTTTCGAGTAATACATGCGAATTGTTTGAAAGTAAAATTCCGTATCTATCTGATGGATTATTGTGATATTCAGCAAAAGATTGATCTCTCAAAATCTCCAGATTTAGACGATGTTTCCGGAATTAAGGAGCTCATATATACGGTGGATATAGAATTACAGAAAGGCCTAATAATTGTAGCATCCTTAGTCGATCAACTACCAAATTTAGATGATATTGCTAAAATGTGTGAGACATTTAAAATTAAAGCACTAATCGTTACGAATACAGATTGTGTAAAAAATAAAGAACTTGAATATCTCAGTGTATCTGCTGATAAATGGTTAAATATGATACAGGTATTTCAATAACTTCTTTTTGGGGTCCACAGTTTTAAACGTTGTTAATCTGTAACTTTCAATAGCATGACATAAGGAGACCTCATTTCTGTGAATCATTGCATAATTTTAATTTTTCAAAACAAATATTAAGAATAATTCAGAAATATTTTTTTGGGCAAGATTCTAAATATTTTTTTATCAAGTTATCAATTGGAATCAGGATATACGATTGTGTTAAAAAAAATATATACGGTATTTTAAATTCTCTAGGTAAAATCGCATGAATTACAAAAATTTTTATTGGACAGAAAGAAGGCAGGATGGTCCTTAATTGGTGTTGAAGAAACACCCGATAGTGTAGATCTGATGTCGATAACATTCAAGGAAAAGACAGTTTTCGTTTTAGGGTAATTAAATCTTGACTTAAATAACACATTTCAAGGCGCGTCTATATACTGATCTGTTTGCAGAAACGAGAAGAATGGTATACCAGCGAATTTCATACCTCTTTTTGACGAATGCGTAGAAATTCTACAAGTAAATACAGAACTTGCATGTCCATTGAGTGTTCACTTTACCACTGCAATATGCATGTATCAATATATACAGCATATGTTAAAACAATAATTTTTCAAGTTTATATGATAAATATGTTTTTAATGAAATAAAAAATTTATTATTGCAATCACAAATGCCATCTCTTTGATATTTTGAAGGAGTATGGATTACTTTAAATTTCAATGATGAATTTTTTGTAGGGATTAAATTCAAATTAGCCAAAGTATTTATACATATTCACACCATTTATAATTTTTTATAGTTGTAATAATTATTGAAAGAAAAATGTCTAATTTATACTTTTATATATTTATGAGCGAATCTATAATTTATACACGGATTATCTATATGAGATTGAATACACAGAGTACTTATACATCATATCCAATAAGATGTCGTTTTCCAATACATTCTCCGACATAGAACCAGCAATATATTTCAGCAGCCACTAAGGTATTGATGATAGCCTCACGCACGGTGACTTCACGATAACGACCGGTCCGTGCACTGTGGATCAATCTTGAGAATCCACTGCGAATTGCAGAAATGTCTTTGAATGTGGGTGGTGTCAGTTCTACTTTGGCATACTGCGCCCATACTTGCAGCATGGGTTTTGCCTGAGTAATACCAACTGCAATTCATATGTATTATTTATTTCTCTCTAATCTTACAAATCTATGTATTTATAACAGAATAAAAAAAATTTACATTTGCAGTAAAAATATAAAAAATAAAAATATTTATAATAAAATTTTAAGTAAATTTTAAGTAAATTTTAAGTAAATCTTATAATTAATTTACGTATGTACGTTTATCACTTATGAAAATGTTATATTCATTTCTGTGCTGTCAAAGAGACATAACCTTAACAAAACACAAAATTCAAAAGAAAAATTCAACAATCGATGAAATATTTAAAATATAAAAATATCGATGTGACATTTTTATTATAGATTTACACATGCGAAAATAATTGTTTTGTGAACATTTGATAAGAAATAAACGTTACATAATATACTACACGGGCAAGAGCAAGGTTAATTTTCACTTGAAATAATCGTGGAAGAAAACTTCGCGCAACGACAAAATGTTTAAAAAATCGTCCGTACGTCTTACTAATTCAGTGGATTTTGTGACGAGCCGCGCCATCGTTTGTTCACTTTATTTTTTAGAAAAGAAAGCGATAAACAGATTCCCGATGTTCGACAAGGACTGGCATCGACTTCCGTTCTATCACAGTAAACTGAATATACTTTCTCCGTCTATGTCCCTAGAGATAACTATAAAGCTAAAAAAGAACACATTATGAAACTGTTCGAAATGAAGCTCGATAAAAATGGTTCGATTATTTCCTAGATTTCTACTAATTTTTTTAGAAAAATAGATTATATATAGATTACCAACGACAAATAATTTTCGCTAAAATTCAATTCTATATTAAAAAATAATGTTAATTTGCCAATTTAACATAAAATTTTCTGATTGATTGGTCCACATCGATTGGCTGTGATTGGCTGTTGTAAATTTTCACGATTTTCGAGCGATTCATGAACGGGAGGATGTTTATTCGATGTCTATTCGAGAAGACAAGTCGAACATCGATTGATCGATCTTCGCCATCTGCTAAAGATAGAGATCCTACAACTAAAGAGGAAAGTGAACGAGCGAATCCAAGGGGAGAGACGAAGCAAAGCGTAAAGGCGCATAGTTAAACACCAAGCCATTGCAAGGTTATTTTGTGATACTTTTTGTAAATGTGTTGCTTAAATAGCGTTCATTAGATTGTCTTGTGCATGCTCCGACTCTACAAGACGAAGTGCAGTGGCTCCGTTTTGTTGTACCGCGTGAAATACTTAATCTGAAATCTCTGCGCGTCTTCACGATACATACAAACATATTTGGCTGGTATCTTTTCAGTACGAGCTTATTCTTTTTTTTCCGTAATTTCTTACATTGATATACAACGCATTTTGATGGTCACGATGTGCAACATTGATAGGAATTAATTTTCTGTTCATATTAGGTTATATTCGTCTCAATCAGGTATTGATTATGATTGTCGCGTTACAAATTTATGAATTATATGTAATACTTAATTTTTCCAGACGTTTAATACGTTCCATATATTTTTGACTTTTTTATAGTTGCGTGTGTGTGTAGTCGCGAGCATATATACATACTGCAACAGTATATACATACTGTTAAAATCTGTTAAGCTATAAAAATCTGTAAAATTTTGTTAAAATTAGATCTTGTAAAATACCACTGCAAATATTGTTAACAGAACAATAATGCCAACAGTAATAAAATGGAATCTGCCAGTTGATTGTGCTGATGTTAATCTGCCACAGTACTCTGCTTGAATCTGTTGGCATATTGACATTATATTGCTTAACTTTTCTTTCATATAATTTTACTTTTGATAATGTTATATTTAAGATTTGTTAATCTTTCATTTTTCTTTAAAGAATACGACAAAATGGCACAGAGATTCCCTGTGCCAAACACAGGAAGTAATGGACCGCCACCTCAGCGATATCCACCATCATCAGTACCACCAAATTTACGCCAGTATTCTGGGCCCAATTTCCCAGTAAATATATTTTTTTCCATGTGCATAATCAGTAAACATATAGTCATATTGTTACTTGATTAGAGTCGACAAAGATTGAGTTTTTTATAATAATAATTATGTACAATAATTATACTTTATGAATTATGTATAAATTCTTAATATATATGAATCCATTTTTCTTGCAGATGCAACAAAGATCTGGATTTACGCCGCCACCACAGATGGGTAACGCAGGACCTGGCCCTGGTGGAATAATGCGACCAAATCAGCCTTATTCAAACATGCGTCAAGGCCCAATGCCCACGCCACCCGTTGGGAAAAGAAGTGCAGACCAACGTATTCCCATGTCCCAACAAAAGCCGTAAGTATAACACTAAAAAAATTTAGAATGGATGCTTTATATTTATCTAATATATAAGTTTTATATTCCTTTGTTCATAGTATAATTTAACAATTAGCTGCTTCTTGTCTTCTTTTAAATACATTCTTACTCTTGCATGTTTGTTTTTTTTCTGTTATTTCTAATATATTATGATTCTTATCTACAACTTATGTATGTCTAAGTAGTACCTTTTTATTTATGCTTGAAACTGAGTTTTATTAGGGCAACCACTGCAACCCAAGGCTAACAGAATTATTTGTAATTTCTGTGTCTATGGTTTTCGAATAAACTCATTTAGGTATTTTTGGAACAGTGATTTTTCACATTCCACATCAAAGAAAAAGAAGAAATTGGCAGACAAAATACTGCCTCAGAAAGTGCGCGATTTGGTACCAGAGTCGCAAGCCTACATGGACTTGTTAGCGTTCGAGAGGAAGTTGGATGCTACTATAATGCGAAAACGTCTCGATATTCAAGAGGCTTTAAAGCGTCCTATGAAGCAAAAACGAAAATTGCGTATTTTTATCTCGAACACATTTTATCCAGCTAAAGAGGCAGGTGAAGGAGAGGAAGGATCTGTCGCATCTTGGGAACTTAGAGTTGAAGGACGTTTATTAGATGATACTAAAAATGATCCTAATAAGGTATGGTGGATTATGAAATAACTGTAATAAAAAATAAATTAATGTGTATAATTATTTCACATATAAATATGCTCAACGATGATAATAGCTGCGTGATTCTGGCAGGTAAAACGGAAATTCTCATCTTTCTTTAAAAGTTTGGTAATAGAATTGGACAAGGATCTATATGGTCCTGACAATCATTTGGTTGAATGGCATCGTACACTGACTACTCAAGAAACTGATGGATTTCAAGTTAAAAGACCAGGTGACAAAAACGTTCGCTGCACAATCCTTCTTCTTCTTGATTATCAGCCACTGCAGGTAACTTTTTTTTATATAAAATCAAGCATTTCAGTTTAAGATTAATTTAATTTTATCTGTGTCGGTTTTAAACTCGATTTCTGTTAATCATATTTCAGTTTAAATTGGACCCAAGATTAGCGCGATTATTAGGCGTGCACACACAGACGCGGCCCGTCATTATATCTGCACTCTGGCAATACATAAAAACTCACAAGCTCCAAGATAGTCACGAAAGAGAATTTATTAATTGTGATAAATACTTGGAACAGATATTTGCCTGTCCGCGAATGAAATTCGCCGAGATACCACAACGATTGAATCCATTATTGCATCCACCTGATCCCATCGTGATAAATCACGTTATAAGCGTGGAAGGTAAATAAAATACAATCTTTATCTGTAATAAATACTACGTTAAAAATTATTGTTTTCAAATTCATGTATGAACTTAATATATCTTAAAATGATTACGAATGATATAACAGTTTGTTGTTACTGAAATGAATTATAATTTGATTATAAGTATCCGATACTAAAATTTTACATTATATAGGCACGGAAACGAAGCAAACTGCATGTTATGACATTGATGTGGAAGTAGATGACACATTGAAGACGCAAATGAATAATTTCTTGTTGTCGACCGCGAGTCAACAGGAAATCCAAAGTTTGGACAACAAAATTCATGAAACCGTTGAGACGATTAATCAATTAAAGACTAATCGTGAATTCTTTTTAAGTTTTGCCAAAGATCCACAACAATTTATCAATAAATGGATCATCTCGCAAACTAGAGACTTGAAGACCATGACTGATGTTGTCGGCAATCCGGAAGAAGAACGGAGAGCTGAATTTTATTATCAACCCTGGGCACAAGAAGCCGTATGTCGTTACTTTTACACGAAAGTGCAACAAAAACGAGCAGAGTTGGAGCAAGCATTGGGTATCAGGAACTCGTAAAGCTATCAAAACTATATTTGACCATTTTATCATTTTATCATCAAGTTATGTAAGATATTCGTAAGTGTTCGTCCTTATAATTATTGCAACATGCAACACTCTATTAAACATATATTTGTAATATTAATGTAGATTACGTGAAAAAATTGCATTTATTACGCAAAGCAAATTTTACGCCTGTGTGAAAATAAAAATATAACAAACAATTTCTTTTTTTTATATACATGATGACGTAACGAATATCACTATCTCGATTAAATTTTTGTTTCAAAGTCTAAATGGACTTGGAATTAAAATAAGGAAATGCATCACTTTTGTCTAATTCTACGAAATCATTTTTTTAACATATATATCTTTCATCATATCAATATATCTTCGATAATCACGAGAGTTTATTTTTACACTTGTAGTGTATGTAAAATAATTAGAAGCTCAGTCTTTATGGTAGTTTATTTCTTCTTATCGAAACGCGCAATATCTCTTGTATAAATAAAAATAATTACATATCATTTACCGTACCGTTGTACACATTTGCTATATTTTTCTAATAGATATACGAAATCTTTCACTGAGATATTGACGCATAGCGGCAGCATTCT